ACGGCACATTGTTAAAATGTTCTGTTACTATAACTTTTCACCAGGTACTATTTTCATAATTCACTCTTCCGGTCAATGTTTATGTTAGAATTATCTTTGTTAATATCTGTTATGATGGAACGGCGTGGCCTAGAAGTACAGAGCTAAACTGCTTACGCGAGAGTATCGAGTTTGAATCTGTGTTCAAATCAGTGGAAAAGACCCAAGTCCACCCAGTTCTGATGGGTACATACCTCAATTTAGGGAAACAAAGGCGGCTCGCCATAGTGCTGACCACGCTATCCCTTCATATGAAGAGGCATCTGAAGCAGTCGAACTCTACTTTATCTGCCCCATGTTTATTGGGCACGAAGGGTAAATGATGATGATGAAAAGCTGTTATAATTCATATTTCATTTTTTTTGTTTAGATAGATATAGCTTAGCAAGGCACATTTAATGGAGTCGACGTAAACTTTGGCGTCGATTGAGTTTCACTTTGGAGCCTCAACTAGCCCGATATTTGCTGTTGTATAATTCTATTTTTTTTTACGTTTTTTTTAGACTGATTTTTTTATCGAATGTATATACAATAATATTTATGTATAGTATACTCATGTTGGGCTTCGTTTCACAATAATTTTATTCATAACAATTTAATAACGGACCGTAAGCTAGTACTCAGTCACGTGGTCTTGACCTTTTAGTCATTAGTGTCTCATTGTTTGCTTTAACATTTTCTGAATCTGATAAGTAGTGTTCAATAAATACTATGTCTTCATCTGGTGCATCTACATTTATTAAAAGCTCCATTAATGAAATGAAAGTTCAATTTATAGCGTTTTATTCATGTTCTATTTCCTCTCAATAAAAATAGCTCTTGACTCGTCAACACCGGACCAATGAGGGAAGCGCTTTGTAATTACATATCCGGCTGTTCGCTTCACCGGGCAAGTATAAAACTTGTATGAACTAAGTCGACCTAGGCCAAACCGAGCGTGGAGCTACCGTACGTAAACACTCTGTACCGCTGGTGTTTTCATTTTGACTTGAGCTTGACTCATGTCACTGATTTTAGTTTGAATTGTACCCGGTACAGGCTGATAATTTGACTTCATGACTTTGGGAAAAAGGTTGAATTTTTATCGCAATAAAAAGTGCCAAAAATTGTACATAATGTATTTGATGTATATAACTTTTTAAACGTGATAAAAAGGAAAAAAGGAATGATCGTACTTATTTGGCTTGTGTTATTAACATAGGTAAGTTTACCATAATTTTTAATTGTTTCAATATTCTGATATATATATATATATATATATATATATATATATATATATATATATATATATATATATATATAATATGTATATATATATATATATAATATGTATATATATATATAATATGTATATATATATATATATATATATATATATATATATATATATATATATATATATATATATGTATATATGTATATGTATATATGTATATATATATATATATATATATATATGTATATATATATATATATAATATGTATATATATAATATGTATATATATATAATATGTATATATATATAATATGGATATATATATATAATATGGATATATATATATAATATGGATATATATATATAATATGGATATATATATATATAATATGTATATATATATATATATAATATGTATATATATATATAATATGTATATATATATAATATGTATATATATAATATGTATATATATGTATATGTATAGGCCTATATGTATATATACATATTTATGTATATATATATGTATAATATATATGTGTATATATATGTAAACATGAATATATATGTATATATATATATATTTATTTATTTATATTAATATATACATGCATATATATACACACACACACACATATATATATATATATATATATATATATATATATATATATATATATATGGTTGTGTGGGAGCGTGTGTGTGTGTATTTCCTGTGGTTAAACTGGTTGTAAGAGTCAGGACCATTATCAAGACTCTGCTACGCCTTCCACTCGACACCGAGTCATATATTTTAGTTGTGTATGCACAAAATACAAAAAACCCACAAAATTATCGCAATTAGAGATTCTACCTGTCCAGTTCAGCTACAATTACCACGAACGTAGGGATTGAGGTCAGAATAAGGTCATGCAGTACAATACCTTTTTTAGTTCCGTAACAAAAGATGAATTCTTCTCTCCACCCCCCATCCCCTCTGGGTGACCTATGTTTACGTAGTGTAGTTGAATAGTTTTCCTGTTGAGCTATAGAACAGATACCATCTCGGTGGTGCGGGATAGTACTGAAGTGACGTGTTTTGTTATTGACTTGAATCGACTTGCTAAGCGCTGTATAGTACAGACTTTTTTTCCTTACTTTTAGTAAACAGGTTGCTTGTATTGCCTAGCCAATGACTTACCTTTTGAGGAGTGCAGCTTAGTAGCTTGTTGATATGGGGAGAGGGAGGAGAGGGGGGGGGGGGTTACTCGTTGCGATCGGCAAAACACAGGGCTCATTAACATAATTTAGTAGGGAATAGTAATTTAACACCGTGGTAGGGGTTCGTGTAGAATTACCTGTTAGCTGTGTGTAGACTATGTATGGTGGTTAAATGTGTCTCTATTTAAGGTGGATTTGGTGTGTGTGTATAATGTAGGCTACATGTGTTTCTATATAAAGTGGATTTGGTGTGTGTGTATATGGTAGGTTACATGTGTTTCTATATATGTTGGATTAGGTATGTGTGTGTGTATATGGTAGGTTACGAGTCGCTCTATGGCGACTTAATAATCCTAGGTGGGGGGGGGGAGACAATTTTACCTTTGGAAAAAGGCTGAAGACATAACATAAATTTAATTATATTTTCAAATAGAATAAACAAAATAATAAAACACACTTGTTTATTGCCTTAAACATATTTACTTATACTACGGGTGTAGCTTAGAGAAAATAGACAATTTACCTAGAAAATATATACTTTAATCATTGTCCGTCCGTCCGCCCCCAAAAAAACGTTACGAGTACCCCGGGTAAAATTACGACACCCCTCCCCAAAAAAAAAGTCGTAAATCACCACCCTTCTTCTTATCTCACCTTTGTAGAAAACCCGATCCCTCCCCTCAGTAGATTTAACACAGTAACCTACTACAAAAACCATGACTATTTAAATTCTATTTTCTCCGTCATATAACTTATATAACTCCGGCCGGAGTAAGCAATGATTTTCTGTGATTAAAGTAAGTAAATAAAAACATGCTTGTGTGCAGAGGGCCGTGTGTCGAAACGTCACATGCGACTGTACAAACATTTGTTTTATTCATAAGATTAAGACGATGTTCATATCATTATCCAATCCAACAATAAAAAAGTCACACTTATTGTATGTCTCTCCATAAAATCGTAAACCAGACAGATGTTAAACCTGACTCACCTAAAAAAAAAAACCACAGTTTTCCTTCTATCCCTCATAAAATGTGGTTTCATTTATCATGTAAATTTCTTTTCTTTAAAATAATGATTATAAATTAATGGTTATTGGTGTAGTGTAATTATAACTTTTAAATAAATAAGCTTTATAGTAAAGTTCACTGTTGAGGTCTAGCTTCCCACGTATCAGGTGTAGTAGAGTTAATCTGTTTCTGTGACCTCGGCATTTGAAGGGATAGTGTGGTCAGAACTATGTCCAGCTGTCTTTACTTCCCCTAACGTACGTCGGTAAGAGCTGTGTGGACTCAGTGAAATACTATGACTCTAGCCAAGGACCCGAACTCGAGACTTTCAGGTTAGCAGTCGAACGCTCTACCATTCGACCACCCTGTCATATAAATAAGCTTTATAGTGGCATTTAATTACACCAGATGAAGTTTTTCAGTTATTTAATGAGTTACTTACTTGTTACGGTTAATAAATACCAATCAACGACTTTTTTTGTAAGAGTTGAAGTATACGGCATAAGAAGAGATGGCATAGTCATGCATGACATGAAACCCAACCCTGACATCTTACGTAAAACATACAAGACAACAAACACTTGGTCAGGATGTATGAACCAATTATTATCTTACATGATTAAACTAAATAATTTTTAAGTAGTGTTCATTTGAACTTTTAATGAACATTAGCACTCAGAAAATATGACTTACTTGTTAGTTAAATCAGTATAAAAGTTGGTCGCAATAGAATGCTGGTTTTTTAACACGCATGACAGAAAGTATATATAAGTAAAGAAGTAGAAATGAAGTCAGAAATGTTAGCCTGTATTACCACGTGTCTAGGTGAAATACAAAACTAGGTTAATGTATTGAGGTCATGGGTGCCGTCCTTTGGTGGCGTCACTAGTTCGGATGACACCTGGAGAAGTAACTGTGGGTGACACCCCCCCCCCCCACGCTTTGTGTTTGAATGTTTGTTTCAGTACTTTATTGAACTCATGAGGGTGGAAAATCCTCAGGAAAATGTATGAACCGACTCACAATGAGAACAATATATATATATATATATATATATATATATATATATATATATATATATATATATATATATATATATATATATAATATATATATATATATATATATATATATATATATATATATATATATATATATATATATATATATATATATATATATATATATATATATATATATATAAAGTTTTGTCACATAACTATACCATTGGCGTGTTTGTATATCGTTTCCAGAAGAAAACTTCCCAGAACATCTAAGACATCGTCATGATTATCGTTCTTCTCATCATCTCGACTCATCTCTCTGATGTGACTTCAGTATCAATCTCGGGGGAATTCCAAAATACATCTTACTGTAAGTAGTGCCATTACCAATCTCGTTGAATTCCAAAATACATCTTACTGTAAGTAGTGCCAGTAAGAATATATGGGGAATTCCAAAATACATCTTACTGTTAGTAGTGCCAGTAAGAATATATGGGGAATTCCAAAATACATCTTACTGTAAGTAGTGT